TAGTTTTAGGTTTATATACATCTATAATAATTACCTAATTTGCATAATAATTTACTTTTCAGCTTTCCACTAATTAAGTTAGGATTAATCAGGGTTTTTTCTCAAAAAAAATGAAATGAAATTTTGAATTAATTTTAATGTGTCTCTAATACTCTCAGCACACAGGAGTTCTTTCTAAGCTTTCTTTGATTGTTATAGCTATGCAATTTAGGACTATAACGTCTTAAAAATCTTAAAGGTACTAAAAGAATTAATGAGGACTATCATTTGCAACAACTTGTCTTTATAGGTATTGAAGATCAAATGAACTGGCATGGTAAACCTCTTGGTGATAAAGCTGAAGGTGCAATTGAAGCTATTCACAAATTGATTGTCACTAAGAATGGGCATGGTTTGTGTCCACAGCTCCCCTCTAGTGAAGTGCCAGCTGTGGATTTAAAAGTCAAACTATCTGAACCACCTAGTTATACTAAAGGACAAAAGGTATGTATTGATAATCAGACCTGTCCAGTGCTTACTGCCAACTTTATTATATATATAATTGTAAGCTTGACTTTTACAGGTGTGCTAAAGAAAATTTTGAATTTGAACATTATTTGGAAAAAATTAAAAATAAAAATCATAGAATAGCTTATACTAAATTTAGAACTTCTGCACATTTTTTTCCCATTGAATCCGGTAGACATAAAGGCATTTTGCAGGAAAACAGGCTATGTTAATCTCCATCTCAAATCAAAGAACAAAGATCTAGATTCCTTGCAGCTTTATACATCTATGCCCCAAAGCTGGAAGATTTTAGCATGGATGAATTATTTCCTATTATTGTTTCATTCTTAGCATTTTTGCAAAATTTATTTTCTATATTCTTGATATGTTTTAGTACTTTAAGTTTTTGTTGTTCTGAATGTTTTGTTTTGTTACTGTTATTTTTGGACTTAAGATTTCATTGGTACACTCCAAATAAAAAATTCTATCTATCTATCTATATATCTTTATACAGTACTATAGGGCATGGGCCCTTACATGTACAATATTAAATATTCTTGAAAATAAATAAACCCTCCCCCCAGTCATTCCATAAGTTTTCATCGATTCTGTAATGAAAAGAAAATAAACTTGCCTAGATTTACTAATGTATTTGAATTACTT